ATAAGAAAAATTAATTTCTGACTAATCGCGCACGGCTCAATATTCCATGATGACGTTATGAAATATCTTGGAAATCGATTTTATAGCTCGGGAAATAATATAGGAGACGAGTTTATAGCGGGCCTTCTTTGTGAAAAGATATTAGATATTCCTCGCGCGCGAGCGCATTGCCTTCATAGAATATGATGTGATTTATAATGTAATATTGGCACGAGTCATGCATAAAAGCCCAAGACTTCTCACGCGGGAGTAAATCTTCGTCTTAGAGGATTAAAAGAAGTTATTAAAAACGCACGTGGCTTTACTCTAAAACAACGATATCAAGTGGCTCTTTGTAACTGTACTGTAATAGTGTCTTTATGACTTATATATACGTATATACGTACAAACTTAGCTAAATTACTTTGTATAATTTAATATACTTTATGTAATCTTTATGATGACAAGTATATGTGTGTATGAAAGAAATTCCATTCAAATGCATAATAAATGACACCGCCTTTTTGTGTATTTCTTTCTACTTTTGCCACAAACACTATTTTCTCTTTACCCTGTGCAACCACTCTTCTAATTTTTTTTCATCTTCATTTATCTTTTAATATTACTCTTTTCTCTCTCTGTTTTTCATCCATCCTTATCACTGTTAAGCTTTAAAATTAATTTCATTTTTTCACGAGAACCTTTTTCGTCTCTGTTTCCGTCTCTTCCATCTTTTGAGCCTTTGGGCCTTTCTGTCGCACTAGTAATTTAATAACTCGTGCAAATGAAAGCAAAGAGACACGAACATATTCCGCACCGAGCACAAAAAATATAATAATAAAAGCATATAGAGTACGCACACATACAGGGTCATCGCTGTCGCGAGATTCTTTGGCTTTGATAATAATTTTCGATGTACCAATCAAAGAAAACGTTTCGTCGCTAGATTTCTTATTTAATAGAATTTTTTTGGCTTTAATCTTCTAGCCGGACGGAAAAGGTACATAATTATTTCACAGAGCAACGACGGTCTCGAGAGAACTGTCCAATAGTAAAAATTCCGATAATCGACGATATATTATCTTCGCAAATTCAGCATCCGGCTGATGAACGTGCGAATCTCGACGACACTATCGTCCGCTTTAATCTGCCGCTGCCAATCGCACTATATTTGTTGCAGCATTGAGCACCAAAGCTGCTCAATGCTTCCCACGTGCTCCATGCACGTCCGATCGCCTTTATATCGGTATTCATTCGCGGTGCACAATGTCATACTTCAATCGAATACGTAGGGTTCGTTTTCGCGTTTCAAAAGCGAAACCATCGCGAAACAGAAATTCTCGTATAATATCACGCAAGCGTGATTTTACGTGGTGGAGAACTTTCCTGGAAAAGGCGCGCGTATAGAAATTCATAAAACGTTCTTGTTAAAAATACGAGTATTAAAAAATATTCTACGTTGAAAATTAAAAGGTATTCAAAATACATTCCTCAATTATTAATCCCAAAAAATGCACTCTATTTTCGAGCAGGCTCCACTTGGAATTAGTTTGCGCAACGTGTTTAGGTGTTGAAAATAGTTCTATATTGTTATTTAATATTCTGCTCGTGTATTGTGTGCGAAACAATGCGTTTACCGGCAGCAGAAATAAGATTTTATCACACATTGAAACATTTTGTGATATTATCCTTAACGTTTTCATTCGTTGGCATTAATTCGCGAAATTGAAGAATACAAAGTGTCGTGATCACTATAAGTCCTTATCATCATAACGTCTTATTTGCTGAAACCGCTTAACTTTGCAACAACCAACACGCTGAATATATGGTAATAATATGCATAATGCATAACAATGTGCATTTATTTATAGATCGTATAACACGTATTATCTGCGTATATGTAATATTTTTCTGCAAATAGCTCTGACGTTAGTTAACAAAAAATGCAGGCGTGTCTTTGTGAAGTTGTATCTAGTTCGAAATATAGAGACATATACATGTGGCGCAATGTAAAACTTTTGTCAGATATAGCCATTAAGTTTCTTATTTATAAATACGTCCATGATGGATTTAAAAATAGTCAGGATTAATAATGGAAAGACATCTTTTAAATAAAGATTGATAAAAATTGTTTTTAAGTTCGATAAAAACTTCAGATTGAAAATGTTCTTAGATTTTGAAACTTTTTTGCTTTAACGTCCTGTACATAGTCTCTTAGTAAATAGGCTTTAGGAAGTTTAAAGGGATTGTCAGTGTAGTGCGGTGTCAGTTGTATCTACGTATCTCTGAGAGTCCGTGATGTTGTTACAGCTTAAAAACTTTAATGAACAATACATATATCAAACGTAAGCTCGAATAGGACATGTTTAGATGTAATCCTAGCTGAATGACTCGACATTTCAAGTTACAGTTTAATTATAAAATTATAAATATAAAGTATTAAACAGTAAGTATGAGATTATACGACCGTGTAAGATATACAATCAAAGGGAGAAAACGCCGTAATCGGTCAGGACTGGATCTTGCTTGTCCGAATAACATATTAATTCTTGAGTGACTTTTTACGTACAATTTTTATGCCCTGGCAGACCACGCGCCGTTACTTTCGGACATAACGCAGTCTCAACCAAAGCCAGAACGATATAATCACACAATTAAATTGATATCAATTTAATTATATTAAATATACACAAGAAATTTGGAATAAACAAATATGCGAAAATTTGCTCTAGTGCGAAATTGCACTAATATATGCATCCCGTAATTTTCGCATATTTGTTTGTTCCGGATTTCTTGTGTATATTTAATATAATTAAATTGATATCAATTTAATTGTGTGATTGTATCGTTCTGGCTTTGGTTGAGATTGCGTTATGTCCAAAAGTAACGGCGCGTGGTCTGCCAGGGCATAAGAATTGTACGTAAAAAGTCACTCAAGAATTAATATATTATTCGAGATCCAGACTTGATCGATTACGGCGTTTTCTCCATTTGATTAAAATAATAAATATATATAAAATAATAAATATATGTAAAATAATAAATTATGAATATTGTATATTAACTTTAATATTAAATATGTCACGTACAACATTAAAAGAATTAGATGTAAAATGTAAATGTGCTTGATGTGTTATGGATCGCGTTCAATCGCGTTAAAAGTAAAATTGTTCGTAATTATTTTCCTAAAAAATACGAATAAAAATAGTACGTTGTATACAATATTTACATGCATAGTACGTTTTATCTATATTAAAAATCAACAGTTTTAATAACGATGTTTGCGAATATGGCTCTCGAGTCCGCAAAATTCTCACGAAAGTCAATAACCGGCCGCCACGTTCGGTCCAATTCACGATTCATATAGACGTTATCGTCGAAAATGAAAATAAAAATTGTCGAGTACTTCGATAAAACTACGTCAAAGTTAAATGAGATCGGAAGCTCTCGATCAAACGCGGCGACGAGCCGTCAATCGAAACAGCCGCGTCCGTCGAAGATATTGAACGAATGTCGATTGAATCGCTTTTCCTGTGAGATTGGAGAATTCTTATTTGACGTAGATTCCAGCGCGCAGCATGGAAGCGCGATGAGAGAAATTATGCCTATAGAAATTATGCAAAGCAGCGATCTCATTTTCTTGTGTCAAGCTCCCTAGCTCTCTCTTTTTCTTTCTTTCTCCTTCTCACTATTCTTAATTCACATTTTCTCGCAAGATCACCGTTGACTTTCACTAGACGATCGAAAATGTAAATCTCACCATCCCTTCTAGGTGATACGCTCGTGATACGCTCGTTTTTAGAGTTTGTACCTCCTCCAGAAGAGATAATCTCGTGGATGATTCAGTCGCAAATTTGTATTTCCGAGAAAAGCCAGCGGCGCCTCTTTCAAGCGTAATTTTCCTTGAAGAAAAGGGCGAATGATTGCTTCGATGATCGATTGCCGGTGACACGGTTCTTTCAACTTTTTTTTTCGGCTTATTTCGCTTTCTCATCATCATCTTTTCAGCTTATTTCTCGATTTTCTGTTCCTCAACGGAACACGCTCAATCGCGTCCAGAAGCCGTTTTTTTCACGTGCAGTTATTGACCTACTAAATTACCGTATGCCTGGATTCGACGATGTATTCTTTCTCGGGTGTGAGATGATGCACGATACCCGGAAGGTCGACAACTATGCCAATATCTAACCGGAGAGAGAAAGAGAGAAGGAGAGGAAAAGAGAGAGAGAAAAAAGGAGGTGACTGCCCGCCTTTACGATAGAAGAAAAAGAAATGCTCGTCGAGATATCGCGAGTTTTGCTCTCGGCGACGCTTTATGTCGGCTTTTACAATGGCCCGTACAATTTGCCGTACTGAATACGAACGACGCTGTTCCGCACCATATACCGGGGATCGCAGTCAGCCATTTCTCAATTCGTTTCGACCTGAATCTCACGTCTCTCTTCCGAGCCGAAGACGCGACCGCGTTAATGCCCCCGCAATTATATACGATCGTCATCGTTGATTCCGTCGACGTCGCGCGTCGTAGGAAATCGTCGTCGTTATATCGACATTTCCGACACCGACATCCTCGATATAAACGTAACGGCGAATCCGATGGAAAGTCCGACGAGACGGAAATAACGTTAGACGGGGACAATACCTCGATGACGCAGTTAATGCATTCTCCTGATAGTTCGCACGTTACCCCGAGTTTTACAGCTCCGCGCTCGCATTACATTCCGGCTCGAGCTTTATCGGTATTCTAGAGGACGAAATACGCAGGTTTTTTTCCCATCACAATCTCGATATCCGCGCTACGCGCTCACGCCTCAATGCGGGCTTTTAGCTTAATGAGAGAATGAGAATGGGTCATTAAAATTTGCTCGAGGTCCCGTTTTAAGTCCGCTGTCAAACTACATAACGTTTTCGACATCGACGTGGGCTTAATTCGTAATTAGAAACGCGCGACCCGTAGATTGCGATCCGTAAGTCGCATAATTACGTTAATAGCATAAAATTCTTAGAGATAAATTACTCACTTATTAATTTTACGAATCGTCTGCTTCAGCGCAGGAAAATCCGGTCGGTCCGCGGAATCTTGCGCCCAGCATCGTCTCATTAAAGTAGCTACCTATAAAACGAGATTTATCTTTTAAATTTATGCTCTTTCTCTCTGTAAAAATTCATTTTAAAAGAACGGGCTACTAATAACATATATGTTAATAATACATCAATAACATGAATATTTTATGGTGATATGCTGTTGATAATGCTAATGAACGACGCATTGATTATCATGAGCAGATAAATCTCGCATAAATTAATATAAACGTAAATACACGAGGGCATTTAAAATATTTGCCAGATGATATTTACCTCTTCTTCAACGGAAGCTTCGTCGATTACAGGCCTTAAGGGTGAACTGCCACCTCTTCTGACACCTTCTACTATTTCTGCAACAGAGACGAAGCGTGTTGCGTGGTATCAAAGTTCACAGGGCAATGTAAAAAAATCTTTTCATGAAAACGAAATAAATAAAAAGAAAGAAAGTGCGCGGAAAATAATCCGCTTGTTGAGCGTAAAAATATCGATTGGGACGCGTGACTGTTATAGGACGTGATAACGTGTTAAAAGAATCAGTCGACGTAATACCGCGAGGTATTCCGCGATGTGGCAATTACTCAGAATTGGAGCGTCCGCATGCAATCGCGCGAAACTACGTTTATTCATGGCTCAGTGGAGTAGTCCGCGCTTACGTCAGACAGCGATGTCCGCTTAGCGCGAGGAACTTTCTCCTTCGTCTCCACCTACCATCGTGCTTCACTACTGTCCACGTATCATTTCAAAGAGCAGCCAGCTACAAATTTTCCGTTAACCGTTTGATCTTCACGGGTATAATGTCGTTCGTATCGATTTTGTAGCGCATCTAACCCGTATAAAAATTTTCCAATAAGATAGTATATTTACAGATTGACGTGGACATCTCGGGACATCAACGAACCGTGAAATTGTAATACGTCTGTCTTATTGAGAATAATTTTTATTTCTGTCGAGAGAAAGAGAGAAAAACGAGTCGGCTCTGTGACTGTATTTAAATGTTATTCTCTTTGCTTATATAAGGCACAATTTATTTCTATCTGACGACATAGATTTCGTTTTACGAGGATTATACAATGTTTGAATGAGTGTAAGTTATAGAATATAACTACCGGGACACCTGACAGAATTGTCGACTAGATAAAATTTCAAAAATGGCATTTGCAGGCGTTTACATTTTACGTATATGGCATACGCCAAATTCACAGGTAAAAATCGAATGTCGGAATGGGATGGAGGTCAACTTACATAACACCTTACGTTCATGCCGGAACTCTGTCCCGGCTAACGCTGATATATTCGTTCTACAAAATCACGGAATTAATTAAATGGTTTTCTGGTGTAAACGTCATGAGCAACGTCACGAGAAACGAATTGAGGTAAAATGACAAAGGGATGTAAATGTATCAATGATAACCGAATTTAGTTTTCTTTTATAACTTGTACGTATAAAGAAGCGAAAATAGAGTTTTATCGTAACCATCGTAGTTATACTTTTTTTTTTTAAATAAAATCAGTTTTATTTAATCGTCGAGCTGTGAAATGAAATGCAAGCCAGTTTTCGCAATTAAAAAGCGATTGAAGCAATACGTTTATTGATAATAACGTTCAATTTACATCTTTGCTTTTTCTGTTTCAATTAATAAACTTCTCTTCAATCTTATTCTTTTTCTCATTCAGAATTTTATTTGAAATATTGATACGTGATGAGCAAAACTGAAATGATAGATATAACAAACAATAGACCTAAATGAAAATTACATGGAAAGATTCCAGTTTGGATGATGTTTCATAGCCCACGTGGCAAAGGAAATATTTGCCAGCACTTCACATGTAGGATCTTCAAATAGATTCTAGTTTGATTCCTGTATTGTATATCATCATATATCATCGTGCGTTATGCTCCTTGAATACTCGAAATGAAAAATTCCGCTAAATTAATGATATACAATTTCATGAAAAAGAAAGGAACAAACAAGGAAATTTAAAAAGAATAAAACTATTGTAATAAAGAATATTTTTTATAAACCAATAATTATATACGTAGTGTAAAAAATACATGAAAAGTACAAATAACATATATATAATTAACAACGAAAGAGCATCGAGTTGTAACTTGGTGTTAATGTTAATATATTCATATATAATTTAAATTAACAAACGTTTCGGTCAACATATTGGACCATCCTCAGTGTCGTACAATAAATGTCGCATTTTGTTAATGTTTGACATATCATTGTAAGAGAACACATATCCGATAATGCTGACTCGACAAATGATCGACGAACCAAGCGAACCTCATGTATGTATAACAATTACTGTCTGGTTAGCTGGTTACACACCGATCTAATTTCATATAATCGTAATTTGCAGCATGACGCACACCGAAAACAACGAACGTTTGCGCTTAGTTTTTAATTTTAATTTTTTGAACGTGTAATTTCCGTTTTCTATGTTACTCTGATTTTAACAAAATGCGACATTTATTGTACGACACTGAGGATGGTCCAATATGTTGACCGAAACGTTTGTTAATTTAAATTATATGTGAATATATTAACATTAACACCTAGTTACGGCTCAATGCTCTTTCGTTGTTAATTGAAAAATCAATTGAGCCGTAACTAGGTGTTAATGTATATATATATATACATATATATATATATATATATAATTAGTTAAAATTATAATAGTAATAATGATAATGCATATCTCAAGTTTTAAAAATCTTATAATGTGTGCGTGTGTGTATGTACGGGCGTATGTATGTCGAAAAGTACTAACAAATTAAATAAACAAGTAAACAATTAAATAAAACAAGTAAAATATATTGTTGTTTATTAGAAATAATGTAAAAGTTCCATGGAATTCAGTAAAAAAAAATTGCAAAAATGTGAGGTATTTTTTGAACTATTCTATATTTCAGTTACCTAGCGAGGCGTTGCATATTTTATAAAATTCCTCTCCGGCAACACGAAATCAACATCAATTTATAACATGTACTGTCTAAAATGTCTATCTCTTCTAATGAAATTCTGCGCACTCCGAAACGCGCAAATATGTCACAAAGTGCAACTAATTTTGTTCGAGGTTAATACCGGGTGTTATATTCCGACGGATCTCTATCCTCAGGAGCCGGATGATACGGCCGTATATAAATGCGCTTATATGGGATAATTAATTGCGTATCGAATTCGACCGCGACTACAGAAAACCGAATCCGCTGTCGTGCGTCAAGGACAACGGACACGTACTGTGTCTGTAGATGTCCTCGAGGAACAGGCTGCAGGACTCGCAGTTGAGGGTGCAGTGAGGCCTGCGGACCTCGAGGAGAGGGCTGACGGCCCTTCTGGGACTGGTCCCGCCGTCGGGACTCGGCCCCGGCACCTGTGGCAGGGTCAGGCTGCTTGTGCTCGAAGCGTTACTTCTTTCCGCCATTTCGTCTTCGTCCTCGAAGAGCCTGGCCGTCGATCAAGGGAAAGCCAAACTGCCTCGCCGGACAGCCCTTGAAAATTTACCGTCGTGATATCGGATTTTTCTTCTTCGTCCTCTCTTCCTTTCCTTACTTGGTGTACGTACACTGCATGCATGTGTGCATGTAGTATACGTACGATGCTTCCGCCGAGTCGGCATACTCGATAAAAATTTTATTTTATTCATTCGATAAAAAGTATTTTATAATCCGCGAACATTTCCAAATTCAAGATAATCCTCCGCGCGAAATTTCGCGGTTGAATAGTCGGATGCGGTATATCATGCGGAAAGTTTGTTCGTGAATGCGTCTTGACAAATAAAAATTGTTGGAAAGTGTTCCCCGATCATTGTGACGTGTGATGAAAAGGGAAAATTTAAATAAAGATTAGAGGTCAGATAAAGAAAAAATTATTATGCTCTCCGGAGCACGTTACCGAGAGCAGATATAGAAAATGCAGGTAGATTTAAGTCATACATTTTCGTGATTTATGTATCATGATTTCAAACGGTAATTCTACTGAAAATTTGCATAAATAATATCTAGACCGCATAATTCTATATATATTTTTTTAAAGATATTTAAGCTTAAGATATAAAATCTAACGCTGGAGTTTAAATTGTCGAAATACTGATACATAAATTTATGTCACGCTTCTCTGCATATAATTATGTTATGTTAACATGCATAGTAATATGTATTTTATTGTGTTTATCTTGAATCTAATAACAAGTATTTTATACCGAATTAATTTTCATTTGCCGTTTAGCATGCAAGAGAAAGTGTACATGCAAGAGAAGTGTACTCGATGCATTGCGTAAACAGTATCTCTGCAAGCTGTTAAAACATTTATCTTTTAACCATTCTTCTTTCATGTGTGTATTTACCTTATTTCGTTTAAAAACACGCGCGCGTATTTTGCAATGAGCTAAAATAATATTTATTAGGTATCAAACCGCTTTATTTGTTCAATTGCATTAAAACTTTAAATACTCAGTTATTATTATTATAATTGCTTATAGTCACACATTGGTATTTCCACGACTAGTTTCTGCAAATAATAATTGTTATAACAGTCAAATTAATCGATCAATTAAACGAAATTAAGTAAACAAAATTTTTATTAAAAATTTTTTATTAAAGTCACGTTTTTATAGAAAAGTATAGTTTTATTAAAATATGTATCTAACAATAATATCTAATGACGAACAAAAACTATCACAGCACTTGTATTTCTGAATAGAATCTCAATTTTGTGCTAAATCGATTTATAGAAATTATATTACAGAGCTAATGAATGAAGCTATTATCCGAAAGCTTTCCTCAGAGCGCTCGACATTGAAACGCGATGAGCGTCTTAAAGTTTAATTCGCGTGTAACGATATTATGGTCGATTTATTCGACGGAATTTCGTTGAAAAGTTACGTCTTGGTGGCCTTGGAATCTCGCGCTTGACTTCTTTCCTCTTCAACCTCTTTCCGTCATCTTTATCTGATCGTTTTACGTCCAACGACCCTGTTTTTGTTCGAGAGTTCACGAGTTCGTTTCGAATTTTCGCCGAGAGACGCAATTTCCGTGAATAGTATAGCCATTAGATCGAATTACACGTAATCTCCGTTTAATGACTTCCTGGTATTCATAGTTGGTTCTTATTTTAAGATCGTCTTAAGTAATGTCTTAAGATGCTATAATACAGCTTTGTGATTAGTTAATAGCATCTTAAGATCGTACTTAAGACGGACTTAAATATAAGATTCAACTATGAATACCGGCCTTAGAATATATTCAAGACTAAAAAAAAACAACGTTAAATTGCCATCTTCACTTAAATGGAGCAGTAAGATAGAGAGCTACCGAAGGTTACCGTAGTAACTGAAAATCAATAAGAAACAACTGGTTTCCGGGAAGAAACTCAAAAAGTAACAAGCCACTTCATTAAAACACCAAGCGCAAATACCTATCTCCGCTACACGTAAAGCAAAAAACTTTCCGGGAATCACTCGGACGGACCATCCAATTCGCTTTAAGGTTTAAGTGATAATCCGCAGATCCTCTTTTGCCTCAGAGGAATTTCGCATTAGGGAAACACTCGCGCTTATATCGCCCTTTCCGGCCGGGTCCACCTTGGATCTTTGCTCCCAATTCCACTGACCATTAGACTTTATCCTAATACATATGCCGGCTTTAACTTTACAACACCACTATCATTATTACAACACGCCGTATTTTTCCATGGGACGCGCGAACCGCAAAATGTTCATGAAACGAGGGAATTGCTTCGTTCGTGTCGCCGTTTCGCCGGCCGCCGAAAAATGCCTTACAAAATTAATGACCACAAGCCGCGAGCTCGTAACCTCGATCCCACCGTCGAGTAAATTAGCACGAATGCATTTCACCGTTATTCTCCAGGAAATAAAGTCGGGACGTTTCGCGAGTGAAATATTCATGGTACAAGGAACTCGACATTAACGTGGATATCGATATTGGATGTGATCGTTATATAATGCACATTTATCTCTCGGTTTACCTCCCTCTGGGTTTATGCAACAGAAAATCTGAATATTAATATAGAACTCTATTGTATTAAAAATTAGTGTAAGTAGTGTAAAATTCAAAATAAGATTCTTATAGATATCTTTAATCAAATATTTTTTCTTGTGGAAATTGTTGTGATCCGTTTATTTCTAAGCCTGAAGCTAATGTCTCTCTTTAAAAATAAAAGTTGTATTTTCCTCTGGGAAATCCTAGGAAATACGTTCCCAGGACGTTCCCAGGATTTCCATCACGGCCGCATGCACGAGAAATGCGAAAGGAAAACTTCAGAAGTAAGAAGAAAAGCAAGGACAACATACAGAAACTGAACTACATTGTAATTTCGCACTGTTGCAAGCATGCAGTAACAGGACAATAAAACGACACGTCTGTCGCGACAAAAAAGCACTCGAGAGCGAGGTGTAAAAAATAAAAGTTTCGTTCGCGCGACGCTAAGAAATCGAGGTGGAAATAAAAGGTTGTATAGTAGAGCGAACGGCCGGTGAACTCGCGCAGGAAATGCAGCAGAAACGAGTCGTTTACGACGCTGTCTGATCGGTTATGCGATCTATCACTTGTCGGATTACCATGCGCGCTACCTCTCGTCGAGTTTCTCGTAGAGTTTCTCTCGTCGGGCTGTCAGCAAATCGTACTCACTTTCACAGATCAAACCGCATCGTACGTATAGATGTGAAGTTAAATCCACTAGTGATTCAAGTAAACGAACGATCCGACTCGGGCTAATATTCGTAACTGATGCTGAACACACTTAATAAACCTTTGATCTGCGAGTTTACACTATCAGCGGTTTACTTTGCGTAAAAGAGAGGACCACATTATCAAAAATTTGCTTTCAATGTCCGCGTCGTCAATTAAGAAGTTATAATAAGACTATAGGTTGAAAGCTTTTTAAAGAAAAATTAAGAATTTCCTTCAATAAGTTTTTTTCTAACTTCTTTGGGGGAATTTACTTTCTTTAGCAAGAGAGCTTTAATACAGACGGACTACATTCCGTCTATCGGGGGACCTCTATGGTTAGTGGCCCCTTTTCCTTTAACACGGTCACCGGGATTTATTTCCGCGCGCTGCTTTCCTCACGTTCCATGATGCAACAGTAATTGCTTCCGCTCGGCTGTAACGCGGATATTACGAAGGTGCGTCGACCCGGTGCGGCGGTCTTTTCGCCGCTCAGAATCGATACTGGAGCCGGTTAACCGGCGATTAAATAACAGCGGGTAAATCACGCGACGAGATCAAAAATTTTGCAAACAATCCAATAAATTTCGATGACACGTTCGTGCGATTGCACGTAATTTCCGAGAGAAAGAGTGGAAGAACACAGTGCATTGTGCACGCACGTTGTCGGGTATGCCGCTCGCCGAAAGATTTCTCTCTTCCGTTTTAGAACAACACCTACTTATTAGAGCGTGGACACGGGCATACTTAAATGATGCCCGATGATTTCACGTGTCGCTGTCGAGAATATTTTTTCGCCGAAGAGACAAATGGATATATGGAGAGAAAGAGAGCGACGACGAGAAGAATCTCGGTGGAACGCGCGCGAGAGCCGTGTGCGTTCCAGGACGCGTGAGAGCTTCGACTGAGCTTTCGGACCTCGCTTCAGCATGCTCCTACGGAACTCGCGACACGTTCCATTCCGCGATCGATCCTCGCGGCCGGTCGTCGTGAGCTTGCGAGCTTGTGCGAAAACTCCGTTACCGATCGCGCGGGATATCGATTTTCCCGGAAATGTGGTGAGCTTCGGCGGTAAAGCTCGAGTCATTTTACTCCGACCAGGCGACCAGTATTACCGAGCGATCAGCATCTACTAATACTCGATACGGGTATACATGTCGGATACCCCTCGCATTTCCCTCCCTTCGAAGCCAGCAGTCGGATCAAGATGTCCTTGCAAGCTGCGTTATCAATCTTCGCTGATCATCAATATTTGATAAGATATCAATAAGATATTAATAAAAGTATGTATTGAAGTCTTTTGATTAGATGTTTTATGAATTATTTAATTATTTATTTTATTGCACATATTAAAATTTTTGCGAGCGTAATAATAGATTTTCCAATTTTAGTAGTCAAATTCAATTTCAAGAAGTAAACTTGCTTGAATAATAATCTATAATTTTATATTTGAAAAATTTAATATAAAATTATATGCAGTCTATATATATGAGACAATTGATATTTAAGTTTTGTTTTAACATGATTTAAACAATACGTACAACTTGCTCTGCAGCGACTGTTGGTAACAGATTAGCTAAACTCCAATAGGAGCTTGCAAGCTCGCTAGAATCCAAGGAGATTCCTTGAAAAGCTTTAGCAAGTAATGATATCCGGCGGCCGATAAAACGATGAACGGAATTTCACTTATCAACAGGCAAAAAGCTCCTTTAAAAAATTAATCGTAAAACCAATGATAATATAAAACGTACAAATAATTTAGTATTGCATTTTTGTTCTCATAAAAATTGTATTAGAATAGATTAAATGCCATTAAATTAAGAGCTTTTTAACAATGAATTTTCTCATATAATTGAAATATATTTGGGAAGAGGTATGCATTATTTTGATGTCCTTTTAACAAAATTGCAAAAATAGCGAGTAACTGAAATAGCTTCGCAATATAAAATACAATATCTGTAATTTCGCATTGAAAGATAATTTCTGCATATTTTTTGCGCATATCGAGTAAATTATGAATCGAGATCACGCTTTTCGTTAAAATCTATAGATTACCGTCAGCTAAATCGTAACATGTGAACCATCACAAATCGCGTCACGCGACGGTATGTTCGTGATCATATTCCAGAACGTGCATGCTCCGCCTTCAGAAACAAGGGCACAAAAAGTCAATATGCGGTAAAATGAGTCAGTGTGCAGTGAAATGAACGTAGTTATATAATACACGTGAGATACACGTGAGATTCAAGTTTCCGTTGATCACTCTTTAAAATGCTAAACCAAAGCGCTCGCAGAAAGGACCGTACGATCATGTATCAGACAAAATGATCTGCAGTTTATTCTGTATCTACAGTCATTCTATACATCGTCTGATCTTCCGCGTTCATGATTAGCAAAATGCATGTAACGTTGTTTATCGATGGCGTTTTCTGCACTGTCATTAGAAAACAAAGTTCACGAAGAATAAAGAGTTTTAGCATTATTTTTCTCTTTATCATTATTTCGCTGGCATAGAAAAATGGACACAATTTTTATGAATTAAAACATTTACATACATTTTTCTATATACATAAAATATTTTATATATTTTTCTTATATCTATATTACTAAGAATTTGCTTATCAAAATTATTTTGATCTTAGTAACAAATAACAGCCAACTGATCTTGTTGCTTCCGGTTAAATTAGCTACAATGCAAGTCATGCATATCAAAAAGAAATTATGCGCGTAACTAGAGGATCGTATTTATTCGTGCAATATGAAACACGATGAGAAGCAATTGCTTGGTATCCGCGATTATCTCAAGTGACGTTAAAGACTCACCCTTTGGAGAGAGTTCGTTATTGTCTCCCAAGTAGAATGGCCCTTGGCGCATCACGATCTCGTGAACGATTATAGCGAAGCTGTACACGTCGCCTTTCTGAGTGCCCTCGGGCAGTCGTATCTCCATCCTCAGCAGCTCCGGAGCTGTCCACAGCTGTTCTGCAAACACCAAATTTCCTGCTCTAAAAAAATCAAAGCGGGTCGAGCGGTTTAACGCGGCCTCTCTTTCTTTTTCCACGCGTTTGATCGTTATTGCAAACATAAATGACAAATATTTGAGAAGTAAAAACATCGTATGTAAAAAAAAATTTGTCGCATTTTATAAACTTCTGTTTGATAAAAATTATTGATTAAATAAACATTTTTCCCACGCGTTACTATTGATATACGTATATGTGCGCCGAAGAACTTGTCCAAATAGTTAAATCGCCAAACAGAAGTTTCGTACATTTACTCTGACTATTATCTCTATTTCTGTCCGCGTTTTTCCTTTCCAAGCGCTTGGAAAATATTTGGCATTGCAACTACGATCGTTGGAAAAATATCGCCGCGCGAGAACGCTTCACGGACGCATAATCGGTTTGCAGATACGTACTCCTCCAATAAGCGTAGCTGTTTTGGTCGCTGTCTTCATCCCCATCCGCGCTCCTTCTCAGCTCGTGTAAGCCGAAGTCGGCGATTTTCAGGACGAATCGTGAGTCGACGACGCAGTTCGAAGACTTGAGATTACCGTGACTCTTCACTTCCGACGCATGGAGATACGCCATGCCGCGCACGATATCGTGTATCAGGGATCCTCTGAACACGCGATCGAGCTTCAGCTGCTCGTTCTCTAGTATATCCTGTTCAACAACAAAGGTTTAAAGAATAGCACGCAGGGTCGATCCTTATGCAACTTTACATCTCGGTCAAACGTTCAAACACATTGTATGCTTTGCTTTAGTATATATTACTATTTACTATATATGCGTATGTCTCTCGATACTCAATATGTATACAGAATATTTTACATTTCACGCGGCTCCTTTGACATACTATCTCTTTGATCTACTGTATAAATTTCACTTGTGTTTAAAATTGCAATTTGTGCAAGGCAAACTAATAATTTAATCGAGTACTTAAAATTGCATTATGAGGCAAGACAGGTATCCAATAAAATGGAGCATCTTTTGTTTCGTATATAGGACGCCTGCAACGTTTATAGACGAATGCAATTAGCAGTCCACTACGTACACTTGCTCGTAGCGCACATTTGCTTCTCGAGTATTAACCCAGTCACATGTACACGTATGTTGCATCATTTCCAATATTATATATATGTACAATATACGATATTGTAGAGAGACATGTCTACATATGCAGAATGTTTTATATCTTATGTTTTAATCGCACAAATGTTGTGACCAAACTGATTGATTTTCTTTCAAGGAAATGTCAAAAAAGACATTATTCTTTATCGTAATTTATCTATTTTTAATATTATATATTCTCTCTTTGAAACTAAGCTTTAAAATATCCTATTAAAATTAACTTGAGATTAACTGAATCAATCGGTTACACAATTATACAAGAAAAAGATTGCCATTAAAATTAAAATCATGAATTGTAGCAATATACAACTATCTCGCTTTAATTTGATGACACGCGGGACATAATTACTTCCTCGGTTGTTCATCAAAACTTTAAATCGGGACACGGAATGCAATTCACCTGGAGAGATCCTTTGGGGCAGTATTCGGTTAGGAGACAACAATGCGGCGGCTCGAGACAGGCACCGTAAAATCGTACAAGATGATCGTGCTGGAGGTCCTTCATCTGCGAAAGTCACCAACATCACCACTCATATTAAAGCCTGTTACATGCAATACCGGTCACTGAAGGAGAAATTACGCGAAGACAACTTATTGGGAATCGTTATTGAGAGAATTGCGTTTCTCAAAGTGTGTGCTCAGGAGTTGTATTTGATAAATTAAAATTGACAAGAAATAATTCATGAAGCTCGACATACGTTTGCGAAGTCACTCACCCGCTTTAGCTCCAGCAATAAAGGTCTTGAGATCTCCACTTTGTTCCTCGGTATCAGTTTTATAGCGACTTTTGAGTTCTGAAACGAATTGCGATTTCACGGTTGGAAACGGAAATATTGACTGACAATTCTTTGATTGTTGCCTCGTGAAAACCATATGCCTATGAAAAAGTGTATATATATATACATACACACACCCACACCATTCTCTATCTTATAAAACGCGACGTGCAAAAATATAAATTGGATCAATGTTGAATACCGATGAGTTTCAATGGCCTTTTTGTTGTTCAGCAACAAATAAGCTTCACAAGAAATAATTCAAGCTATCAAAAGGACGATCGTAAGGATGCAAATCTTATATGAAATTTCCTAGAATCGCGCACTTGCGATGAAATCATTAATAAATCAGTTTTCGCGCTACGTTTTCTATTCGGACGTACTTGTCGAGCGATTGTCTGACGTTTTATTGAAGCAATATCTTCTCTATAAAAAAAAAATAGAATGAATATTGATTGGCAGACGCAAACAACACAAGCCGTATTTCAACGTTCATGGAACATATATGTATATTTCGATTGTAGATAATACATATTGGCATTTAATCCTATTAATACCGAAGATTGCAACTCGGAAATAACTCGGAAATAAGTCAGAAATAGTATATTGTACAACTAGTAAGAAGACCACTTTTCCCACTACTTGTACAATATACTATTTTCGCGATACCTACGCAAATGCACCATGATTTTTTTTTTAGATTTTATTTAATATATTAGTATTATTAAAGTTATACTTTGTATGATTGACAACGTTATATACGTGTAATTTAAAAGTAAAGTAAAAACGAAACGTAGTCTCTAACCTTGTAAAATCCTGTCGGGACATTGTCGTTTCTATCAACTCCGTCTGGCAGACTTGCGTTATCCTCAGAATAAATCGTCTGGAACAGAGATCGTCTCTTAAATAATAATGAATTAGAAGTGAGTTACGTAAGGCAGGGTATCTTAGGTTACTAAGAAATATTTCAGTAATAGATTCTTTGACAAATTCAAAGTTGACCTTCCTGAAAACTTCAAATATTAAATGCCTTACAGTAATGAAACTTTTAACTAAAAGCAAACGCGAGTTTAAATATAGTTAAATAGAATAAATTGTCATTATAGTGTTGAAACTTCATTTGGAAAAAGCTCTTCACTCACAATTGTTTAAAATCCGGAAAGTAGCTATTGATACCTCGACATTTCAAATTATATACAGTTTCGCACAAATTGGTCAAAGACTCCGTCGTTACATCCGATTTGTATTATCGTGCAAACAAATGTAAAATTAAGGCTAAGTAGCACTTATTTTTCATCCGTTCTTTCTTCCATTTGTATTAAAAAATATAAGAAAAGAAGTACACACAGAGAACGAAATTTAAAAACGGCTTTCTCTTTTGCTTTTGCACCGTAACGCTATACGTAAAGAAATGATAAGAAACGCGTCAACAGAATAACGTACAATGGAATAAAGTCTTCTTTATGGTTACTACTTCCGACGCTCCGGAAGTGGGTAAGCACTACTCGCGAAGTAGTACTTTCCACTATTATTCTCTTTCCTTACTTCAGAGAGATCCTGCCTAAGGTACGAACACCATTCTCTCAGGAATAAAATTATTGGAATAAATAAACGTTATCGGAATGAGCACTCGAATGAAAATTCGATCGCCACCGCGACGTTTATTTTATCCACTGTAGCTCTTGTCACGACTAACGTTTATTACGTCCCTAATCCGCTTGAATTATATCCGCTTTTCAAAATAATCGAATTGCCGTTTCCGTAAACGAAGCGCGATGTATCTTATGCAACGCGAGAATCGTGTTTTCCGTCATATTTACCATTTGACTACCGCGAAACCCTTTCGCGATTAGGGAGTACATGGAGCCCCTTATTGTCTTCGCGCTAGGTATCACGATTACGTCGTCCCAATGCACCTTCCACGTCATGGAGGCAATTTCCGCTTCTAGTTTGAAGCGCCTGCAAAACAAACGACAATATTATCGGCGATCGACTCTCGCGGAGGAAAGTCACAGCCGAGGCGCGTCAAAAAAAGAAAAAATTTACGCAATATTATACGGCCGCGTGATAAACCACGCGCTTAAGCGTATGCGTCGTGGATTAATTCCGGACAATCGCATTATCTTTCTTTCCGACGACAAAGAGTATTGCGCGTTTTTCCTTCGTTGATTAACGAGATGCTTTTTATCAACGGCAATTATCATGCCGCGTATATAACGGAAATATTTTCGCGATGTCTCCATGCGCTACAAAGATGCAATTTGTCAACTCGGTAGACGTGCGCGTGCGTGTATCTGTACTGCTTGTACGTACATGTATGCTATCCGTTCGCCCGATAACTGCGAGGATGCATACGCGAACGTGTGCGAACATACGACTTAACAAGTTTGCAACCGGCGCCCGGCGCCGCGTCGGTGTGCGTACACGTTGAACAGCGCGAGAGGTAATTACGTGCTGGTGTATCTCATAACGCCTATCTGTTTCAGGCGGGATATTATTCCGCGCATAAAGGCTCCGTGCGTTCGAAATTTCCCGAACTAAATGAGTTCGATATATTCATCGAAAGTTCATCGTCAAACGTTCGTGGGGTGAATTGCGAACGACGAAAACGCAATCCTGCAATCCTAGATATTTGTTGGGATTTGCGACACCGATACGTGTAGTTTAACCGAACTCGGTAGCATTGTAAACTCACTGCAAATTCTCGCGAATGGACGCATGGATTATTTTTGTATATCCGGTATTTTTGTGTAGCGTCGAATTGCGTATCCGGTAGCATTGAAATTCGATATTTTGCGTGCTGCCGGTGCGCAAGCATGTATCTGTGTATCAGTTTTTAGTACCCGGCAGTTATCTAATAATATGCGATACGCCGCTAAAAAATGTTATCGACAGTTTCCTTTTTCTCTATGGCTTTTAATAAAATTCCCTCGGATATTTAAACCTAAATTAGCGAATTATCAAGCCAACATACTCGTTGTTTGAACGACGATGAGTATGTTGGCTTTTTGTACGAAGTAATTTTGTCTGTGTGATTTCACAAATGTGTAATATTACAGATGTGTTTGACTTTCGAGGTGAGTTCTCGAGGTGAAACGCGTTTGCGGCTCATCAAAAAGGTATCTTCCACGCAAAATAGAAGACAAGCACAAACTGCATAATTTGACTGATGACGCTTTGTACTTCGCCCGTTACCACCATGTTACCGACATCTCGTAAATTATAAAATTATTTCAACACTTTCCCGTAAAATATGCGTAAATTAAACTGCTTTCAATAAAAAATGTGAATAATTTCACTCATGATTTTAATCCTTTAAGAAATAACTTTCGTTCAACAAACTTCGATAAAGATTTTATAAGATACCGGTAAATTTAATGTTCGACGATTGAAGCGATAAATATCTTGTTCGCGATAATAGTACACTCTATTAAGCAGAGAGATCGTAATGCGCGTTAAAATAAGTTGTAAAACTGTGCAATTGCGCTATCGCATCCCTGATTAAAATCATGCGGAAATATACGACGTGTGCCAAGTTATAATGGCAAGACGATACGCAATAAACTCTGAAGAAGAGCCGGAGAGGTAGGACGATGATAATAATTACCGAAAGCAGATCGCTGTCAAATATACCAAGCTTAACGTTAAGCCAAGTATAGTACTTCTGTCTAAAACCGTTATCTCTTATAATTTTACGTTTACGATTGCATCGTAATATTGCACAAAACTTTTAAATTAAATTAAATCTGTTAACCATTCGCATAAATACTTTTATATCAAGGTATTAAATTTCCTTTTCCAAGTATAAACGCTAAATCTAATCGGCATCGATGATCTATTGAAATTAATTGGGAATGTAATATATTTCAAAGAACAGAATATTTGTGTGGAAATAACTCCATTATATACATATATAAAGTGTTAAACGTTTCGTACTGTCAATATGTCGATTGTAAAAACCTTGGCCTTGATATTTGTTTTTTTGTAACGTAGAGCGAGCCGTTATGGATATAAGGTCGCCGGGCTACCATTCGCCAGTCGATATTCGAGCGAGCAGGTAACAGCGAATGGTCGCTCCATAAATTGTCGCGTTAATTTCAGGAGACAATGGCGACAAGTACCAAAAGATATTGATTACTGAATGCATTCATACCTTATGATTATTATAATACAGATAAGAAATTACATGTTATTTCATGATATTTACAACGTTGTTGCGTGCCAATAATAAATAGTGCGTCTAATGCACTATGTCCGTTTTTATCAACAAATCACTGTCGATCGAGTAAGTGAACCCTGGACGTTCTTTGCGTTATGTCGCAAACGTTCGGCAGCGTCGTGTTAACAATCGGATTAAAACTCCTTTTAAGAAAGAAAGACTTGTGTTAATAATTAATCCGCATGCGATCGTAATTTTACTCCATTTTCTTTAAATTTTAACTTTGGAAGTGCCGTGCAAAGTATCGCGTGATTATGATTATGCGCGTATTTATCGCAAGTGTAGCATCGAAGAAATAAGGAGCTGACAACGATAAGAGAGGAGGAGGAGGAGGAAATAGCAACATTAAGGTATAATTGACTTATATATCGCAGATATCATATATTCTCCTTTACAATTGTTAATTATTATTATTTATTCTTATTATGCGCCGATTTTAGCCTCAACTTGTACAGTGTATCTATTTATTGATTGCTTCAACACCAGATAATATAGTATCGCACGTAATTAGAGGAGAGATGCCCGTCTTGTATTAAATTTCAGTTGTTTGTATAATAATAAGTCCCAATTAAGATTCCTTCAGATAATCGCGACTAGCTGTGGATAGATAGGAATGTCACGTGTCAGAGTAGGTAGGTAAAAATACGGATAGATAGAAATATGGATAAGTATATACGTAGAAATACGAATGGGTAGAAATGGGGAGGAAATAGTGATAAGAATATGGGTAGATAGAATACGAGGGATTATTATATAATTCAAAAATATGACATTAAATACACAATAAATTAAAAATATGTAATGTTAAAATTGTAATAAAACTTTATAATATTTAATTATAACATTAAAATTATTTAATACTAATGCCAGATATATTACACGAAAACGGCAGGACAAATACGATAAAATAAAATTCATTAAATTAACTTAATAAATATCAACTTTAAAGATTTTTAGATAAGATTTAATAGCTTTTACTCTTAATTCAAAATTCCACGTTCTAAAATAATCGCTGATTGTTATTAATACAAATTTTATTAAGTGTGAAAAATCTGAGTGCTAAACCAATAATGAAATATAAGCTTCTCACTTGTGAAGTTTAATCATTATTGATATTACAGACTCACAAATATATTTTATACAATTTTTGCGAAATTCAGTATTTGAAATATCGTCGTTTGTTATCAGTCAAAATATTTTAAACAATAAATCTGGTATCGTTCCTAATAAATTTCACAAATTTTATATCGCATTTCGCATATCGTATAATTAATCGTCATTGTTTGATATATTTACAGTTGCCAAAAAGAATCGCGAATTTTATTATACTTATTTCTTATATTAATTATTATATGTATTTTTGACGTTTTCGTGTAATCTGGTTTTAATAAAATGTCTCGAACGTGTAATTTATTTGTGTACTATATAATTCTGTATTGCATATTTTATAATAATGAAATGGATAAAATACAGAATTGTGGGTATACTTGTCTAAATTACTTTGGGACTTGGGGTTATCGCAGCTGGATAGAAGGAAACAATTCGTTTAAGCTCTTAAAAATGTTCTCATGGCTGACAAACCGAAGAGACAAAGGCACTTGGCGAGCCGAGTGGTAGCGTAAAGTTGGACAGATGGTATTAAATCGATTAACTCGTAGCATCTGAGAAATTTCAGCACGGATAAGTGTCTTGTCTCGCTTCACTCGTTTCTTCTTTCTCCCCTTGTCTTACTTTTCTTCAACCGTACCGTACTTCAAAGAAGCCGAGAAGCTGCTCAGCTATACGTTCTCGATATGTATATGTGCACTTAGCGTGTGCTACTTGGGGTTATCGAGATTACCTCTTCGTGGTGAAGCAAGCGAGGCAACGAGGTCTTTTAAATTTCTAATAGCGAATCTATGCTAATTAATGCGCGTCGGCGCGAATGTCGGCGAATATCTCTGAATATTTAAATGTGTACATTTCAAAAGCGTAAATTATTTGCAGTAGCTATTTTAGCGTCAGTTTCACTTATTGATTTAATTTGCCGATTAAACAAAGTGACGTCATCGGAAAAATTTAATTCATTGTTCTGGAATATTTCGGTGGGTGGATGCATTGTTGTAGATTGATACGCTACTCAATACGAAGCTTCGCGGCAAACGTAATAGGAAATAATATTCCCAGTAGAAAACAATTTTGTTAATCTTATCCATTTTAAATGGAAGAGAAAAAGAAAGAAAGAAAAAGAGAGCGGTTTCTAAACCATTATGTAATTCAAATCGAGAACGCGCAATTATCGGTGATAATTGAAGTTGAAACACACTGGTTTTTATTACATGAACATATACATCCATTTTATAAATATTTTTTCCCTTCGCAAAGTATGTTTATTTGGTTTAAATATTCCATCTCACTTTATAGTATTCGTTCTGTTTCTCAATATCCAAATCTTAATTTATCATAAGTAATACTTATTAGTATCTATATATATCGTCGTTAATACCGATAAATTTTCTCGCATAAAAGAAATATAATGTAAAGTGTTGCAGTAAAAACAATCTTGACTTACCGATAAATAAATACTGAACCGACGACGAGAACGACCACGATGGAGCTCAATACCATGGAGAGAATAGCGTATCCCGGAAGAGCTGTGTTGAACATTAGTAATTTAAATAAGAAAAAATATTGCATTTTGAGAGAGAGAGAGAGAGAGAGAGAGAGAGAGAGGTGGGGGGAAGGGAAGAGAGTCAGATAATTTGATGCACTAGAAAAAATTACACAGAATTATGCCAACACAATTGCGAGAAGGAAAAATTTTATTTTAATGTTTTATTTCGTCCAGTTAAATATTAAACGTTTTTAGTAACCAAACATAATTAAAATTTATACAAATGTAGAAGTCTTTTTATTCCTCGTTGCGATTGCATATTTCTACCGTATATTGTATACCCAACTTATATTATTTATTTGTTATTATATTTAAATTAAAAAAGCATTACCCACTCACAATTATCGGGACATAACGACCCGTCGAATCCGCAAGTAGGCGTATCCGGGGGTGGTTCTAAACGGCCACCGGCCCAGTGAATTTGCTTCCCAGGGATATATTCCAATGTTTTATTCGCACCATAGTAATTGGCCACAATCTGCGAGAAATTATTTCACGAATAAGATAATAAGCGGATCACCATGCATGCAACGTCGCAAATTAAATTATTTTAATTGCGAGACTATATAGGTAAAATTGTATTTTACAATTAGGCATAGATAGTTATTAATCCTCGGAGATGTCTTACTTCGAATCTGGATGTTTCCGGGTCCATGTCCAGCAAAGAGTAATCCGCAATTCTGTCCCCATTCTCGTCGATGTTTACATCGCCAGTTATTCCTGGAATTGGTCATAATTATGCGAAAATAAAACGAGACATTGCATATTTATGATTACTCGGTGAGGTTTTAATCAAAGTTGAATATTACGGTCGCGGCAGGCGGTTGCGGAATTGTTAATTCTCGAAAAGCTTCATTTCAAGCGCGGTGGTAAAATTTCACGTGGGCGATTGATGCAATTCGAGATAACCGATATAGAAATCCAACGCGGGAATGCATGTAGGAGGGTACAGCGAGACAAGAAAATATTGAAACACAAAGCAAACTGGCAATCTTGCATTCCGTTCGACGTTAGCTACGCCAGCTATAAAACTCTCTCAGAAAGCTCGAGAAACGAAGGTCGAGGCGAAAGAACGTACATAAAGGAATAAAAGATAGTCATACTTCAAAGATCCTCGCATGCAGATGAGACGTAAAGCCAGAGTAAAAAGCAATTGTTTGCATTCTTATAGGTATTGCAAGAGAAAATAACATAGACGCAGATTGACAGATATTTCAGTGATATGAATTTATTTACGTGCAAGCGCAAACATTTCCTTAGAGGATCGAAACTTGAAACGTATGCGTGACAAAAGTGAAAATATCATAAGCATTCGAATAATTTCGACAATTCGGAAAATTCGAGGAAACTAGAAAAAAAAAAGGATAAAAATGTAGCGTAAAATCGATAATGTGCAAATTGATTCCATTAGTTATAAAAGTTGGAAAATCGTGGCGGGTCAATAACAGATTTTTGCGAGTGATGATTAATTATCCGATTCACCGGATAATTAATTTAACTGCTCTGGCTACAAAGAATTTTTAATTAACAATGGCTGTAATTTGGCTGTCTGACGAAATCATTATTCATTCATTCTTTTCCACATTGCTGACCAATTTTTATTCTATAGATTTCAGTTCTATAGATCTGTTCTGTAGTTTTGTCGATTACAATTACAATGTTGATCCATAGGCTTAACACTGATGCAACAGATAAGGCATAACACATCACAATTTTCCATCAGGAGAAAATGCCTATAAAACCTTAAAGATTACGCGCGAGAAATCCCCCCATCGAGTTATACCCGGCGTCGTTTTCGCTGAAGTCGCGCTAGATTGACCGACGCGAATGACTTTCGCTATAAATGTAAGCAACGATAAATGAGAGAAGCTGAAACTTACCCTTGAAACTCTTTCCCCACATTCTCCGGGTCAGATTACCGCCGTCTAGGTTGACCTCACCCGGCTTCTCCGGCAGACTCTCCTTAAGAGCGAGGGCGTAAAGCAGCACGGCGTCGTAAAACGCCGTCACGAAGGTGGAGACCGAGCTATTACCGAAGGTGAAGTCGTATTTGCTCTGAGCCAAGGATTTAACTTCGCGCGAAAAATTCAGGTACTCTAGGTTGTCCGGGGTGCGCGCTGTTACCGTTAACAAGGCCTGATAAGCCTTCCGAGCTTTCTCGTTCCTCTCGTCGGTATCGCCCTCGACTCTCCATGGCTCTTTGGAATCATTGTCGCTAAAATACATTCGTTCATTTGATATTTTGTAATAATATGTTTCTCGCAAATATATGTGTTGTTATGAGACAAAAAGATTCATCGAATCGTTGGATGATCAGATTTCAAAAACTTTAATTTTATGAAAACTTTAATTATATAAAAACTGTGCTGTTACATAGTAAGCATCTTTTGCTAATAAAGTATTACATTTAGTATTAAAGTGTTACATTTAAAACTTTTAGAAAAGAATATAATTATCTTACAGAATTATTAGAATATTTAACGTTTCTATAATATATATTGAAGCCAATATGACGCACAAGTAAAAGCAGCTCGTAGTATATAAATTCTGCTAAAAAAAGGTTATATTGTAAAAAATATACAGTAGACCTTCATGACACGGATTTATATAACACCGATTTGTATAACATGATGGAAAAATTTTAGTATTTGTTTGTTTTAAAGTAAAATAAAAATATTTTACTATTACATCTTTATAATATTTATTTTACATTTTTTATAATAAATCCTTATATCTTTTATAAATATGTTATATCGTTTATAAATTGTTTTTTATTTTTGAAACTTTTTTGCTTTAAAACTTTTTAATTAATTCAATTAAAATAAATTTATAAAAATAGTCTTTATATTGAGAATTATTTTAAAAAACATTAATTTTTACAATTACGTATATTTCATTTCCTCGAATATTACCTGAAATCGTTGATATTAAAGCGACGCATTATAAGCGAACCAATTAATTTATGTTTCGGTGAAACATCATTTAACTACACCGTGACCGAGCAGCTTTTCGCCTTCACACATACCAGAGATCATAACTTTCATTTTATGATGCTCGATCGTTACATTATAATTGGAACATATAAAAGCCACAAACACCTACCGTACGATAATGCGTGTAACACTCGAATTACAAGGCGCGAAAAAACAACTGCAGGACACGTGATTAAATAAAGTGACGTTGGAATAACACGGCATCACCGTGAGCGTTTGCACCGACAACTCGCTTGTTCTTTTTTTATTTCTACATCTTGCACGTCTCTTTCAAAATTAAAGCAAGCGAATAAATCGGCACAGTTCGAAAGCAATCTCAAGTCTCGCCGGGAAGTTTTCTCCATTTGACATTCTGAAAATTCCTTAACTCTCGATTATCCAAAAAAGAATTGCCGAATACGTTCTCTAACAAACATGAATTTAAAAAATTTGATATTTTTTTGTCATCTGCGACGGACTATTGTAGGAAAACTTCATTCAAGCTTTAAGACTTCATCAGATTAATTCTAACTGGAATAACTGATGAATAAAAATTTCAATTACTGTTAAAGTCAACGCCAATAGTGCTGCTCAAACCACGAGATGGTCAGACTACTTTTCATCTCGTGCACTTTTTAAATCTCACATGAAAATCTCGTTAAATCAGATTTTCATCGTTTTTTCGTTCCGGAAAAATTCACGAGATCGTGATTTCGTTAAATTCGAGCGAAAATTTTCGCTTATTGTATTTTCCCTTCCGAAAGCTGTTTTCCCTTGTTTACTGGCACAATGGCGAAATTTATACATTCAATAGTTTTATACGGTTTACAACAGATTAACGATTGTGTCTATTCTGACTCGACTATAATCTAAATGAAGGGCTGCGGTTTGAGGTTTCCGATACGACGGATTGAATTCCACTCGACCCGAAATCGCATGATATCCTTTATTAACAAGAGCCATAGGAAAACAGAGAAGCGGAAATGCAACGAGATATCCAGTACAATAGTTTTGTTTTCCCAGAGAGTTCTCTGGGATAATATAGCCGGACGATCATAACCCTGCGATCTGTATCATCACTGGTATCGCTGAAATTCAAGATAATTCCGTTTTGATTTCGTCTGCAGATACACAACCATCGCCCGAATAAAATCATCAAGAAAACAAAATAACGTCCGAGAATGTGATCGTAAGGAACTTACGATCGCGAAGAATCACGTACTACGTTACGTTTACGACGTTCCCGGATTAGCAATTTCCCGGGACGAGGCTTTTCAAGGCCTCGTTAAACGGCGCGATTGTACGATATATGTACCTGTACTTTGTACAAACGGGAGATTTAATACCGTCCGACACGCTCACACTCGTCGGTCGAATTTCTCTCTAACGGAGCGTCTTTTCGAAGTTAACGGTATAATATACAGCTGGATTGCTTTATTCTACGAAAGGATGAGTCGGATCGGTGAGTCGCATGTCAGGCAGTGAGGCAGTCTCTTTATGAATGCACTGGGCGATATTAATGCTCTCAATCGTATATATAGTAGGGACGTAAACGCAAGTTTATCTAAGCGAGCAAACTGCTTCGCGAGCCCACGCGAAACGACTGCGTCGACGATATGGCAAGGGATAAATTAGATTGAATTAGAACTTCAAAACTTGACCCCTGATAGTATAAAATAACTTCTTGCAAGCGAAACGGACAAAGTAAATGCAATTGTCTCGTCCTAACCATGTTATGTTAGGTAACTAAGTTAATATTAGCGTATCCAGGTTCCAGATAACCGTAGAAATTGCTTCTAGTTATTTAGATAGAGATAATTACTGTTGATGAATATACTGACATTAATATAGTAAATCATATCTCATTAACAACGGAAAATATTTACATAAATTTATACAGAGAAGTTATATTTTCAAATTCTTAGTTTGCGCGGTGAATGAAAAAAGATTTTTTTTCCTCTACGTAGACGTAGAACGAACGTATATATGTACATATATTTTTCGTTTTATGGAAACATGTTCAATGTCGTCAGATCCCATTTTAATCTCTTTTTTACTTGCTTCTCGTCCTCCGTGACACTGAAGACCGACGAGACGTATTTCATGCCAATTTTCCTTTTATATGGAGCCAAGCCGTCCCGGGTACCGGGTACGACTCCACATTCATTCGTTTCAATTATAAACCGACTTTAGTGTCCGAGACACGTGCTATTGTACAAGCACCCCTGTTTATGCCCCAGTTTTTTGACATGCGACCCGTGTTCCCGCAGATTTCATGCGTTATTAGCTGATTTATGGGACAAGATATATCAAACGATATTTCACAACTGCGACATTAAATAGCGTAATATACAAAATTCTAATCAGTTTAGATTAGAAGAAAATGCCATTTGGCTTGAGCTGGATTTTGATAGCCTAATAATACCCATCACGGATTAAGGGAGGTTCTTATAGGTTCGTCGAACTGTGGGGGGCTGAAGTGATATTTTTTACAATAAATTCTTTACAGTAATTTAAATAAGATGCTAATAAGCATCAAAAGTTAAATTGATTATTGATTTAAGTAGGGGGAGGGGGTTTACTGTTCCAACGAAAGCTGTGTTTTAAAGCCAACAAACAATCGACGCGTAGTTTGTTATAGGAAATTTGTATACTTGGAAATACAGATAAATGTTATTAGACTACCAAGATCCAGCTCGGACTGTAAATGGCATTTTCTTCTAAATTGATTGTATATCATGACGGTCGCGTGTTTCTCTCTCAACAAAATTTTAATTTTTAAACAAAATATTTCAGATGAGATATCTCTCATATCGAAAAGAGAAAGATTAAAAACGTGTTAGACGCAAAGATAAGTCTGTTAATTCTTTCAGATAAGACAATTTTTCCTCGAAATTATCTTTCTCTACTTTGTGCTCTCTTTCAAAACGTACAAGGATTATCTTATGTTCTATCTTCTATCTTATTAAAATGTTCATGGTACGTTACATTTATATAGCCGTGCGTATACTTTTTATTCCGTACGAAATTTCCGTAATAGCGCTCTATTCAAGATACGCGACGACGAATAACACACGCAATTACTCTTAGTGGTAAAATTGCGAGTTTACTCCGCTTACCTGGAGGAGAGCTCTATGGAGAAGAACACGTACTCCCCTGAGTCCACCATCCCGAGCTCCTCGGCAGCCAGCAATATTTCCCGGATGGTCGTTGAATTAGCGCACATCACCACGACTGAAACATAAAGAAAAAACGATTTCTTGGGAGACATGTTGAGATCTATATAAATATTATCGCGGTCGAGCCACTTTCCGATATGCGCTCGATCCAATCGCATTTGCAGTTTGCTGCATACGAATGTGGCACAAGTATATCCACTTAATTTTACATGAAGGTAGGCCCACGTATGTTAACGTATGCGCGAGAGTAGAATTTAAAAAAAAAATGAATAATCTATAGATGCATCGGTATAGATGACTGATCAAGATATATTCTTGCATCAACCTTTTTGCTAGCGAAGTTTTTATCGTATTCTTATCTCTTATTTTTATCGCATCTTGTCTCTTATTTTATTTAAAAATATATTCTGGGGCTTACACACATACACACATTTTCAAATATTTCCAAGGTTTAACTCACAGTCTTAAAAAATAGAGATTATGTATCTGTGACGGTTCTTTTTTTCAAATTTTTTTTAAATACATAATCTCTATTTCTTAAATACGGATTTAAGATGGTTTATATGGAGAAATAAGTTCTTCAATTAATATAACTTTATATAATTGCAAAAATTAATATACATAGATTAAATGGTTATTATTTGCCGATAAACTAGCGGGTGATTATCCATTGATGCACTTACGTTTCATACAAATTCCAAAATTGCAAAACATTATCAGAGCACAGCAGCAAGGTGAATAATACCGTTTGTAAAGTTCAACTTCAACGATCTAGAATCGTTGTCGTATATTGTGCTTCGACATCTTTATCCTAGTTCAATCCAGCTTAAACTCAGCGGATTTAACGCGAAATTCAGGGAGATGTATGTACATAGATAGACGGGGAAGACAAGGAAGTTTCGATTACCGTTTCTCTTTAAAGTAGAATACCATATACGTCGACACGTTTCACAGTCGCTTCTACATTGCTGTTTGACGTGCGAACGCTCTTGCACGTGAGTCTTCCCAAAGCGCGCGTCATCTTGTCAAATCTCGCACGCGCTTAAGATATTACGGAGAGATGAATATTCTTCGTGTTACGACGAGAGATATAAAATTCGACGTGAAAATCTTCTGTACATCACCGACGTTCGTCAGGCATTTTACCTGTACGTCGACAACGAACATGTAAAACTGCTCGAATTTCATAAAACGGGAATATTGCGCACGCAAAAGAAACTTGTAATAAAAACGTATGAATTTCGTTAAACATTAGATAATTTAGCGCGAGCATGTTTGAAGTTAATAATTTCTTTTTTGCCATTATGAAATAAAAATATTACAGAAATTGCATTGTAGCTATATGAGTTAAAAATAATTGCGATGTTTTTTCGCTTTGTCATTTCAGAGAACACTTTCACGAAACACAAAAATCTAAATAAAATCTGCGCTGAGCTTTATCCTCGGTTTTATTATATCGTTTGAATTTTTCGAAGAGAGGAAACGATTTCAGTTATGGCGCTTTCAGAAATTGACTTGCTCACATAAACGTCTAATATTATAGAAAACTGTTGTTCGTGAAATTGTTACAATGCTATAAAGTTATATGTGTGTGTGTGTGTGTGTGTGTTGTATGTATAATGTATATACATTTTAATATATCTTGAGAAAGATTGCCTTTTACGATTCGTTAGTAAAAACTATATGATTAATTAAACGTTATATAATGTTATTATACGTATTATGCAAATAATGATAATGTTTATTTTATTCATATGATTTTAAGCACTTAAAAGAACATATTTTTTATTTCACTGATTATTCCAAACAATTTTCACAGAAAATTAGTAATAATTTTATGTACTTCAGGTATTTACAATGAGTAACACATTTAAAAATCAGACGTGTTATTAAAAGAACTGGTCCTACGAAATCGTTTCGCAGATGTCTTGAGCCTCACGAGACATGTTTAAGCAAAATGCGCTTTCACAAAATAATCCGGGGCTGCTCGTATCGTTGCACCGCAACGCGCCAAGCCAGATATAAACGTTTATCCAAGCAAAGTCATAATCCCGCTTTTACGACAAGTCAAACACGCGCCATTAATCGGTGCAACTCTCGCATGCGCCTTTAACTAACTTTGGATCAAGACACAATTCGGGACATTAACATTTTGAGAGTCTGTTCATTTTGTACTAATTAACGATAAAATGTTCTCTTAATCTGATTTTGTTAAACACAACTTCGTACATGCTATTTATTCGCGTACCTCGTACAAATCGACGTTGTAGAACATCGCGCTCTACTGTATTTACATGTTATTTTCGAAATAAAGCGAGCGAATGAGACGTATTGTCTCGTAATCGTAACGTCAGTAAGATGGGAAGCGTTGTCGTAGTTGCATTATTATGAGTCGATCCCACTCAGTTTCTCATTAGAGATGCTCTTCATTTAACGCCACCGTAGCTACCACCAATGACGACGATTAACTAGAGTCATACGATACAAAGGGGTAAAGTTCGTTCCATTATATCATGAGCACAGACATCCCGCCGACGTAATGACATTGATATCGGCTAAAGTTTACGCGCCGCGCCGTTCCAACCGTATTTCTTCACCCCGCGACGCTTAAGGCGTTTCGATTAAATGCAGTTATGGAAAACTGCACTAGAATGGGGATATATAGACGTAATTATGATTGCAGTAAGATGCGACGAGTGATTTTAATATATTTCTAATATCTCTCGATAATATGTATATATAAAATTATACGCTAAAATATCGTAACGGATGTCGATCGAAATTTTGTGACGCATTCTTTTGTACGTTTTCAATTTACGCTTATTCAGATTTTTAGGCATATTAATTCCGAAAAATTTTATTTCCTCGTCACGCTCTCTTTTGTAATATAAAATAAAAGTTGCATAAGAAAAGAATTGACTGAATGAGCTACCAAAGAGAACTTTAACTAGTTTATTATTAGAACTTGACTAGTTAGTTTTAATTAATTTCACAAATTGTATCTTGCTGTCGAATAAAAATACGAGATCTCTTGTAGAAAAGAGAATCCTTGCATTCAAACTGATTACACAGTAAAAAATCGTGCGTCCAAATGTTAAAATTTTCTTGTGTTACCAAGATTTGACTATTATTTCAATGTAAAATTAACATACAACAGCTATGTTATTATTTTTGTAACATTTTTATGTGTTGTATTAATGTCAATGTGATAACTTAACACTTTATGTATGTCATTTAGAAATTGAATATTATTTTGAGTTCTTTTAACATAATTATTTCAAAAAATCAACACGTCTTAAAGTTATTTTAACATAAACAAAAGTTAAAGTAAATCTTCAAATAATCGTAAACTTTGACATACAAAATAATCAATTTTACTACAATCAAATGTTCAAAACAACATTTCTCTTAGTTGAAATAACTATCGTTTATTCAAATATGTTATATCGACATTTTTTACAAGTTATTTTAACATTATACTTAAAGTTAAAAGAACAAATATAAATGTAAAATATAGTGTCAATAAATTAACATTTCTAATTTGTCAACAAGTAACACACGATGAATGAGTTATTCTAACTCAAGAGTGGACTTTCTGGGACATTTAAAAAATGTTACGATTAACATTTTATTTTTTACTGTGTATCAGCATCGCTGATATTTTTTCGAGCTTGGAAAATTTTCCTGAAATTTCTTTCCCTATTGGTAAATCGAGATACGCAAGTCTTGTTCAGTTTTTGTGAAAAAAATTACAACTACAAAGCATTTCGAGAGCATACTCGTAAAAGATTAAAGCGTGAAGTATTTTCATCTTCTTTCAAATTTTCGAGATCCGAATATTGATAAGTAGATCTAGATAGGTAAAGGCGAGGGTAAAGGACACCGTCTTTAATACAAGGCGAGGAAATTTGATTAAACAATCGCTGAGTCAGTCGCGATGAAAATCGACTTCAAAGTCATGTACAGAAGGCACAGAGAATATCGCGATAAACGATCGGTTCGACTCATCGAGAGCGTAACACCCTACATCGATTGAAAATTTGAACGCCGGTAAAAAGTAGTCGAGGCGTAAAACGAAAAGACGAGCAGAGCTCGGATCAGCCGCCGATGTGGGTAAAATGGATAGATCGATGTTATACGTCTGTATACCGGGAATAGCCTCATTATCACATAGATCGAATCTTCTTTTACTTCTCTTTTATATCTCGTCTTGCGCCCCCGTTACTTCGTAGACACACGTACCTGAGACAGCCGTTCGAATAGAGTTAAATGTAAACTCGTTGTGTAATTTCGTTTCCCGGCACGGTAATGTGATAATACTGACAACAGACACTTGCTTTGCAACACCTCTTTTGAGGAAATTTGATAAGAATTACAGTCGGAAACTTTCAAATAACGCTTTAGAAATTCGATCGTAAGTAAAACTTTATACATCTTGTATAAATTTAAAATATAACTGTAAGTAATTTATTAATTATAATAAAAGATAAAAGATATATTATTAGAGATAAAATAAGACCGAATAAACAAAGAGGATATTTTATGCGCTAATATAATGTTAAAAAAAATATAACTATTGTTGAATATTTTTTGGTATTTTTACATATAATAAACAATATATTATTAATACTCGCGTCTATTTAGTAATATTAATTTATGTATTAAATATAAAATAATTTATCATAAAAAACTTTGAAAATATGCATAAATAGATCAAACATGCATTCAGAAAAACTGTGTGCATACGATTGCCAACACAAAACGTTTGATAAGTGTTCCATCTTGATATGAAATTGATAACACACATACACATTATATAAAATAAATATTTTTACTTCGCAATAACCCGTAGCAGAAATGTATCGTGGATATCAATAACGCCAAGATTAAACGTTTTGCACAATATATCGAGATTAATATCCAACCCACATTAAGCATGAAGCAGATATCCCGTTATCAGCTTGCCTTATTGTTTCGGATATTATTTATAGCATAGACGTGAGATCTCGGCGAGACAGCGCGGGGTACTGAATCATCGTTCCTTTCGCGCGAGGCGGAGAATGAAAAATTCGATAAGAATCCGTTCTTCGACATACACACAGCGGAACTTTGAGAATTCCAATCAATCGACGATTTATGGCATTCGCTAGTAATTTAACGTAGATCGCGAGATCGGTGACGACACGGTGCGCCACGTCCTGTTAATGTCGACTTCTCGGAAATCGGATCGTGTCGGCGTCTCGATCGACTACGAATTCCTAGCGGCGTTGTTCTAAAAGTTCGTTCTTGCAATCAGACACGAGCGCGATTAAAATTCACGAGAACCATCAAGTAACTTTATGGCGTTACATATCTAACGACGGTGGATCTGACGATGGTGATGATAATGATTAAAAATCGATTAAGCAATAATTAATTTTTGGCAATAGCAAATTTATTTGAAAATTTAAGATCTGTAGAAAACATAATACGATTTAATTAGTTTTTTTATTTTACCTTCAACAAATTATTCTTTATATGCACATGTTTCAAAGAGTTTTGTTTAAAATAGATTAAGAGATTAAGAGATTTCAATCTCTTAATTTATCTCACTTGAAATGTCATTGTTCCTTTTATGCGCTCTTCGTTATAGAATAATTTGAAAAAGCATCTTGAAAAAGTAAGAGGATACAATCTCTTTTATTCTTTATATTATGATTCAAAGTGTTATCCGGTATTTGGGTCAAAAATATTTGTGCTTTCCTGGAAGTTGCAAGTGCCGCGCAGATAGCATCAAATCGAAGAGACATATTCCGCAGCTTGTTTCACTCCTATTGAGAATAAGTCTACCGTGAACTCTTTGTAATGCGATTTGAAGATTCGAGCATGTGGGGAACGATGAGGAACAAGCGTGGAGACATTTTCAAGATGAAGCTCCGCTCGTACGAATCACCTGTGCGATATCGTGAGAGAGAATTGCTCGTCGCGAAATGTGACGTTCCGATAAAGTGCTCTGAAATTTATGACATAACTCGATCATTGCGGTATCACGCCCCGGGTACATCAAATTAATTAATTGCACGCGGAGACGTGCTCTCCGCTTCGTTACCCCGTGCGACGTATTCAATTTTCGCAATACCTGTAAGATGATTAATTACATCGTAATCATGAGAAACGCGCGCAATGCGAATGCGTCGTTTTACTAAATACCGATGAAAGCTCCTCGGCCTTCCGAAGAGAGCCGATTGTGCGTTACCCACAGGAATGGAGTTGTTAATGGAAATTTATTTAACGTTCGGATAACGCATGTAAACCTAGTTGACGAGTTTGAAGTGTTAAACACGATCAACGAGTAAAAGGCAAGGGGCGCACTTGTAGAGGCAAACTTCGTAAACGATATCAATTAAATGATGGTGTCGAAGTTCACCGTCCGTGGACTATCAAGCCCGCGTTTCACAACGCGACGTCCTTTAGCAGTGTTAAACGTTAAACGCTAAACGTTACACGCCACGTCGGCTCTGATAAAAGCTGATTGATTTATGTAAAGTCTGAAAGCACAACACAAAATTATTTAGGGTGCGCAATTACGTTATGCGCTGAGTTAAATGAACGAACATATATTACGGAAAACTCGGAAATGCAGGTTTCTCTATATAAATTATAAAATAGGCAATGTAAAAGAGGAAAAAAGAGTTCGTCTGAAATATAATAAATCTTCTTTGCAAAAAGAAATCTTAAAAATTCTATTACAGTCTATTAATTTTTTAATTTTTTAGCAGGATTTATTCCATTAAAACTTTACATAAACTTTTTTCCTCTTCTACTTTCTATTCCGTAAATTGCAAAAAAAAAACACATCTATATTAATATTCCGAATATTTTCTAATAAACATGTGTTTTGTATGAGCATATGTGATGACTCTGAATACATTTTTAGAACATATGCACATTTTACACATTTTGTAGGAGAAGTTCCACACACATATTTTTATTTTTATAAATAAAATATATCACATGAACTTTTTGACCAGTTCAAAATAGATTAGTTTGTCATAACTTTGTCACGCGTGCATGTTTGAATTAATCTACACAATAAAAAACGTTTTCATTTTTGCGAGCAAAAATACGTCACAAATGTCGAATTTCCGACACTTTCGTTGATATTTTGTATATACCGTTCTTCTGATGAATCAGAAGACTTCCGCGATTAGGAGGGCGAATGAATTAATGAGGGAACAATCATCGTGAATCGAGCGGACTTACTCCGTGCGGATTTCGAGACGAAGCTGAGCAGGTTTCTGTAATCCTCGGCGGTGGTGGTCTCCTGGTTGAAGCTCTTGTGCACCGGCGTTTGATTGAGCGCCGTGAATACGGCGCTCAGCGTGAAATGGCACTCGGAATTGCCTCTGCTGCTGGCCATCTCGTGATTGTGAAACAGCAGACCGCAGATTTTCCATCCGAAACGCCGTAGGATATGTCTGAACGCGTCGCCCACCAAACGATGGGAGCCCATCATCCTGGTTAACGTCGGGTAATGCTCGCCCTTGTGACGAAACGCCTCCGCCTGCGCGCCCGCCGTCAGCACGGGTATGCCCCATACCCCCGCGTATCTGGCTACGGGCGCGATCACGTAATCGCATACGGGACCCAGAAAAGCGTCTGTTGCGATCCGGGAAGAAGAATCGGGAAATAATAGATTTATCAAATTTTGCGCCGGTTTTGCTTAATCGGGAGGCCCATTGCGAGTGTGAAACATCACGAAAAGTTCGACGCTTTATTTAAAGCCGAGATTACCGTAAAATTCAATCTTTTATGTTTATTTAGCGTTAAACACCTTTCACGAATAAACGCAAAAGAATCTGTCTTTTTCTGTCACAGAAGAAATAAACCACCTAAAAAATTATCAAAAATTCGATGCTTCGATTAAGACAAGTAGTAATCATAATCGTAAAAATTCAGCTCAAGCGATTTATTCGTGATTTATTGTCGGCACACGCAAACCTGTTATTTTTCTGTGTCATACATAGTTTTAAGTAGTATAGAATTGAATCCATGCACTCTTGGCGCCAGGAATGATAGAAAACAAGGTAGAGCCACGTGCGCGAAATAGATAACACGAATCTGAATTTATGAATCCGAATATATTGGCTCCGCGTTATAATCCTATCACCGCCGCCTATATGATCTGATATACGTCGATAACAAGTATATTGTTTGTCGAAGGGACTTCGCTTGCAAGATGTACACTCCGCGTATGAGTATACACGGTTGATTAACGTATCGATTGATATGGGCGCAATTAAATTAAGCCGGTACATTTCGTGTTCGCTCACATGGCTTATATACTCTCGAGGGGTACACTTATAGATCAGACCGCAACTGATTACGGAAACGTCGATGTACATCTTCCTCCGGGAGTATGCTTTTAACGATTATTAATATCGAATGTTTTCGTCACGACTGACACGTGACAGATGTATATGAAATGTTCCCGGCGGGATAAACGTCCGGAAAAATATTTCTTACTGCGTCAGCCGCATCGCACGCGAAGCCGGTAATTCCCCACGACGCTAAAGCTCGTTCGCCGCGTGTTCACGCATTCACATCCGCACACATGCATTTGTACACGTGTACAATATGTTTTTCAAATGCACGTGCAATTAAAATCTTGCTGACTGAGGCGATATCGCGAGTTGGCGAAGGGAAAACTTGACAAAACGTGATGCAACGTGAACGTGAGGATAATAGAACGACCAGCTAATTAAACAGATTGTTACTCTCCCGCTGTGCAAAGAAACGCTTATTGTTCATGAGTTTTCGAACCAAAATTCCATTATTTTCTGCACAATGCTCTTGGCAATTACAGCAAGGGACATTCGCTTCGTACGAAACGTCGCGCGGACAGGGAAATGGAGACAAGGAAATCTTTTTCAAATGATTACGAAAGTTTTGTTGCGAAATAAATGCCACGAGAATAAATACGTATATGTCAGTGCATTTCGTTCACCGTTGTAATTAAAGTGTATCAGCTTTTACAAGCAACAGGCTTCCAATTGCGTTCGTTTCATTCACAGATTTACACGAACGCGCTAAGCCGCGCGACCTGAAATGCTTCTCGAAATCCTCGATTCTCGATTCCCGCGCGTTTACCCGCAAGCAATGCGCCTCCATGGAGCCGCAGTTCTAATTAGCAATCACGAGTGATATTGCGTCGATATCCAATTCCACATAAAGGCAAACATTACCGTGGAATAATCGTTTCGAACGACACGCGGTCCGCGTTTAAAACTCATTAATTCGCGCTAACGGCGACCGAATTCCCCCGCGGTGCGCCCAATTTAGGGCTTTCAATCTTCATCGATCGAAGCTACGTAATATGATAATAACTGCGTCAGGTTACCTAGCGTCATTGTGGCTGCAAATTCCAGCGTAAAGCGGTTACGTCCGATTAACGCCGCATGCATCCCCAATGTCGCTGCGGCACTGCATGTGGTCGCTTTTATCCGGCGAAACTGCCAAAGTTGCTGGAGTTTATGGATATATGCTACGAAGATTCCCGTGGGAAACTTATAAGCTCCATCATATCGTCAACGGATGGTGCATTAAGTCCCGCGTACCTTTTTTAATACCCCGCTTTCAGTAATATCTCGCCTAAGTTTAATTCACTTCCTTACACAATTTTTTTCACGATTAATTTCAATTTATTATCTTAACTCTAATTGGATTTTATGTAATTTAATTAAAGGCTTAATTTGAAAGATTTAATTAAAGGCTTAATTGAAGAGAATTAGCGCAAGTATGAAATTAGCGTAAAGTATGAAATTACATGATATCTAATGACAGAATTTTTCGTGAATTAAATTTCAAAATTACATGTCGACAAAATTATGCCAAAAATTTACGATAAATAATTGTTAAAGCCAAGTTGACTTATTATGTACTATTTTTATCAGAGTTATACTTTGTATATTTTTTGTCGACACGTTGCGTCCGTTGTAGTATAAAGAAGTATACAAAAAGTGAAATATATATTTCTGTGTAAATCGTTGTTCAATATAGAACGCACTTTTTAGAAGCACTAGACACTACAGACGCGCGCTACGCGCGCGCTATTTATCTTTAACATTTCACTATTAACCCTATTATACACAACTGTCAAAATATACAATGACAGCTGCAAATGAAGTAAGCGCAGCAAGGAAACCAATCGGCATCGCGGAAAAGCGGCAACAATAAACTTCACATCTCCTTTTTAGAAAAGGATATTTCGTTAAAACTTTTCTTTCGTCGGATGAATAAAAACTCGTCCCGCGCGAGGCTCTGTGAGAGCGTGAAAACGTGACTCGTAAATTCGGCCGAAAATTAAGCCGCAGATGACGAAGTGCATTCCCGATGGCGATGAGTTATTGCAGTCGCATGCCATATTTCGGTGTACCGCAATATTTCGCGTGTAGAGATTATACAGACGCATAGTTTTGCACAAATAGACGAAGATCCTCGTGGATTTTATGACGCAAACATGCGCTTGTTACAGCTCGTTCAACGAGTAAAAAGTGAATTTTACGGATATGATTTATTTATGCCGATTTGGAGAGGTCAGATAAAATCATGAATAATTCCAAATTGATCTTTAATAAAAACGGGCTGTTTACACCAAGGGATTAAACGGTGTAACGATACAAATCAGTAATAATAGAAATATTTACGTGAAATAATTTATAAAAGTGTATAATGTGACATAAAATCATATACATGTTTGTGCCAAATTAATTTATTGTATCTAATATAAAATTATTAGTGCTTTTATAGCAACTGTGAAAAAGTGTAGGTAATGGAATATATATAGGACTTTATTTAGATTGGGAATTTTCGCGAGTTCTTATTTCTTGAGATTAAAGAAATATGACTCATAGCACTCTCCAGACTTGACTCAGATATTCCGAGCTTCGCATAGACTATCTATTATAGGCAGATTTATCTCTCTTGGCAGGTTTTTTTTCGCCCTTTAGACTCGTCGAAAGGAGCAACAAGTGCTATGTTATATGAGGGTTTCTTATATATACCCCCATATAAGTACGTGAATACGCGCCGTAAGCTTGATACACCCTTTACGCCAGGGATAACCGAAGACCCGTTTCGTCTACGAAAGTTAGCTTTCGGGGTAGAAGCTATTCTTATCACGTACTGCTGGCTTAGCGCGAAAAGTCAATTTCATTATTACTTGCTCGACGTCTACGTGGATTTTTGTCGAGTAAGAAATAATATCACGGATTATCACTTCGTAGTTATCGCCGGCTACTGCAATATACGCGGCCGCGTAATATAAAAAAATGTAGCTGCAGGGCTTATCTGGTGACATTTGCGCAATTTTGGATTAGCGAGCTGACAAACAATCTTCATTGTTTACGTACGAAATATTTCAACGGAAATGAAATTTTATTTAACTCGTAACATCCGTATCGTTTTATATACTGTAACTAGATAGAGAAATATCGCAGATATATACGGTTTGCCATAGTTGTGTTTCTATCATTCATTCGTGTTTATATATGATGTGTATACATATATAAATCGATATATAGGATATAACATAAGAACTTAATTTTTACGGACGAAACGTGAAGAAAAAGGAATTATATTTAAAGAAATTGCACTTGTTTTTCACCTTTTTAAACGAAATTGAAGAGATTTTGAGAATTATTATCGCGATTTGGTATTATTGTCGCGATATCTCGGATTAAATTTACCGTCATGACTAATGAAAGATCGTTTCTATAATTCCAGTTAATAATTATGCACTCGCGCGATATTTTATTTTTAACTGCCTTCAAACTACGGACATGAATTTGCGTTTCTTGCAATCTATACTGCGAATAATATCGTGAAAACGCAAGTCACCTTTATTAAGAAGGTATCTGCAATCATAAGGGGAAACTAGTTATCACTGACTTATCACCTTATGCCACGACAATTGCGAGTGAAAATAACAAGATAGTCATGAATTTCATCTCGTGTTAATACATAAACAAGACTAAAAAGTATTTGTAATTTATGAATCAAGAAAATTTCTTTGCTTCGCTATTTTTCTCTGTAGAAGAAGCAACAAATAGCATACTAATAATATTTTATAGAATTTATTATGCATCTTGAGAAAAGTATACAGTACTTGAGTGGACTAAAAAAGAAATAACAAGCAGCTCTCATTTTTTTAGAAGAAAACAGTCAAAGAGATAAAATACACGAAGTTGTTGCGGTGAATAGTAAACGCCGAGAGAAACGTGCAATGAGAGACTGCGTCTCATTAAAAACTGAACTGCGTCTCCCGCAGTTGTCTCGTTTCAATACGCGATGTTTCTTCGCTCTCGATGAGCTCTCGGTAGCAAGAAAAATACACCTGTGACGCCGCATGTCATTCAGATATTATGCACGATCGCCCACAATCGCGGCAGAATAAGATCACAAACGTGTTTACCTTCGGAATTGGGATAAAAAGTTAGATAGAAAGTATGTTAGATTTTTGCGATATTCTGTTTTCCTTCATAACATACTTTTTGGTTTTCTATTTAATATTCGAGCGAGATAAAACGAGATATAAGAACCACGCGTATCCGAAATCACATTTGAAACGAAATTAGCATGAAAGTTTTCGCAATCTTATG